CCCTGCCACCCCCCCGCCAGCACCCTGGCAGCACCCTGGCAGCACCCTCTCAGCACCCTAGCAGCACCCTGCTGTGCACCCTGGCAGCACCCTGCTGTGTACCCTGCCAGCACCCTGGGTACACCCTGCTGTGCACACTGCTGTACACCCTGCCAGCACCCTGCTGTGCACCCTGCTTTGCACTCTGCCAGCTCCCTAGCAGCACCCTGCTGTGCACCCTGCCAGCACCCTGCTGTGCACCCTGCTGGCATTTTGGGCACCCTGTCTGCAGCACAGCCCCACCATTTGGACCCAGCTGAGGAAGTCACAGGGTGCTGGTCCAGGCAGGGACTTGCTCCAACGGGGACAGGGGTGATCCCCAAGATAGGATGGTGTGTGTCCCTCCACTGGCTCTTCTCTGAAGTCATTTTGCAGTATCCAGCCTTGATTTTTTGGGACATGGACACTGGGTAAGAGCGAGGTGCAGCAAGGGGGGCTGAGTGGTGTCCCAGGGCTGGGTGTGGACAAGGAGGGATTCCTGTCTCCGTGCCTGGCTGGTGGAGCAGAGCACCTTCCTGTCCTCAGCTCAGCTCCCATTTAATCCCTCCTTGGGGAGACAGCAGGGAGAGGAGGAAAGCAGATGCTCTTGTGTGGATCCAGTGCAGCTGCCTGGCTCTCCTTTCCCTGCCTGGATCATCCTTTCCCTGTTATTCCCCTTCCTACCCCTATGCACTGAGGAGCTCCTGGCCCAGCTGGGGTAAAGGTGGTCTCTGAAGGACAGAAAATATTCCCTCCAAGAAGAAAATGAAACAAAGCAGAGGGAAAGCAAAAGAGGATTTACTGGTCTGGGAAAGGCTCCACTTAAAGAAATGAAATGAAATACTCCATACTCCCATGAAATACTCTGGGATACATCAGTGTCCTGGCTTCACTGGGACAGAATCATAGGCTGTACATTTGCTGGGCTGAGTACAGCTTTGTTTACTCTCTATTGGGTACTGGTATTAGTTTGGCTGTTCAATTAAATCCATTTTCACTCCAACTCCTTTTCCTGATCCCCGTTCTTGGCTGGGGAGGGGTCACTGGGTGACAGAGCAACTGCTGGAGTTTAGACCCAGACACCAGCTAAGTGTAGACACCAGAGCATCCCAGATGACATTCCAGGGAGGGGCTTTGCTGGATTTGCACAGACCTGGCACCAGAACTGGGATGTCCATGAGGGCTCAGAGGCAAAACCAGGTTCTCCTGTGGCTCTGGATGAATCTAGGAGGAGATGCTCTTCACCCTCATCCAGTTCATCAGTCCTCTTGTGCTTGGTGCAGGGAAGGGAGCAGCCCTTCTGCTGTGATGACTGGATCCAGTCTCTGCTCTGGAGTGGCCCTGGGAGTCCCTCACATGGTCCAGGCTGAAAAACAGCTTTCCCTTTTCTTCCCTGCTGTCACCTCCAGCTCTGGCCCTGGGCCTGGCTGCAGAGTGTGGAGGGGAGCAGAGCTGCTGGAGACAAGCCACCAGCTCCATCTCTGACTGCCCACTCTCCCAGGACTGTGTGGGGTCCTGGGACTCTGCTGGCCCTGGCTTTTATCATCCTTGCTCACCTGGCAGTCCCATGGCTGGGGAAATCCCTCTGGGAAATGCAGGGCATCTAGGAGGGGGACCCCAGGGAATGCTGCCTCACCCCTACACCCCTCCCACCACTCTGAGCCCCACGGGGTGGGTGGGAGGTGTTGGCAACATATGGGACAGATCCTACTCCTGCTGCTCACCCCTACACCCCTCCCACCACTCTGAGCCCCACGGGGTGGGTGGGAGGTGTTGGCACCTGCAAAACATATGGGACAGATCCTACTCCTGCTGAGAAGAAGAGCAGGGGAAGGTGGCAAACGTAGTGGCTGGCAGAGGCATTTGGGACCCTGCTGGGGTTCAGCTCTCATTGCCCCCTCCAAAAAGATTTGCAGAGGCTTCAAACCTCCCACTGCTGGGGGCTGAGGGCACTGGGACAGGATGGCTGCTGCAGCTGGGCAGCCAAAGTCATGAGTGTGATCAAAGCAGCTTGGTCAGGTCAGGTCTGTTTTCTATTCAGGATTTGTTTGATTTATTCTTTCCCCATTTAGATCTGCCTCAGTCAGATCATCTCTTCCATCACCTTGCCTGGGCTCACGGTGAGATAACCACTAAATGCACACCCCTGTGTGTGCTGTTCCCTTTTTTAAGGTCCTTGTCCCACCCCAGGCACCCAGGGGGTCCCTGGCTGCTTCCAGAGGAGGCTTAGATTGACCTGGGTCCACCTTGTCCTCCCCTGTTCCCAGGAGGAGGGGGCTCCTAGTCCCCCCCCCCACACCTCTGCTGCCACCCAGACCCCTGCAGAGCCTGACTGGCTCCTGCCCAGCTGCCATCACCTTTGGAAAACCCAGCAGGGAATCTGCACCTCGCCCCCAGAGCTGCTCAGCAGGGTGGGAGCAGGTTTTGCAGCCTCTGAGACATCACCTGGCTGCTCTGATGCCATTCTCCTCATCCAGGGGATGTTTCACCAGGAAAACCATGGCCAAGCCCCAGCTCCAGAGAGGTTAACCCCACGGGAGCAATGCAGAGAGCAGCCTCCTGTGGCTTTGTTGTAGAACACTGAGCTTTTGGAGCCCTCTCTTGACTTGGAAGCCCACACCCTGCTCCTGGCTGGTGGCTGTGC